GTACAGCTTCCAACTCAGATCTGAAAAAAAATTAGTGGATGGTTGTTTTCTGACCGCTCGGCAGACCGCCGACCGGCCGGCCCTACTGGTTGTCTGCAATACGGTCGGTGGTCGGGGTCGGCGGTCGGCAGAGATGCAACCATGCAAAAAGTGTTAAAAACGACATTGCAACCTGAATGCAAACAGCCGGCCCAGAGTGACGATGGTCCTCGACAAAGCCCCCTAATAAAAACCCTAATGTCATCAGACTTGCCTCAACACCCATGTAAAACCCACTCTACATATAAATCCCTACCACTTCTGCAGCACCTTGGATTGGCATTTGTTCTTGAAGGGCAGTTTTGGGATTGTTGAAGCCATATAAAATCCACTCTAGATCAGCCATTTAAAAGCCGCTCTCATAATCCCGCTCTAGGTCAAAGTAGACTCAATACCACTTGTGCCAGACCTAAAGTGGGTTTTATATGGCTTCACCAATGCCAGACCTAAAGTGGGTTTTATATGGCTTCAACAATGCCAGACCTAAAGTGGGTTTTATATGCCTTCAACACTGCCAGACCTAAAGTCGGTTTATATGGCTTCAACAATGCCAGACCTAAAGTGGGTTTATATGGCTTCAACAAAGAAGCAAATCCTCCCATTTTGCGCATATCTTGTTCATCAGACATTGCATGAATCACAGAACCTGCCATACCTAAAGTGGGATTTACATGGCTTCAACAATGCCAGACCTAAAGTGAGTAACTGTGGCTTCAACAATGCCAGACCTAAAGTGGGTTTTATATCGCTTCAACAATGCCGCTTTTGCAGGACAGGTTTTAGGTTGAAGCCTTGAAGGGCATTGACCTTGGCATTGACCTTTCGGATTACGAGCACTACCGTCTTCACCCGAATAGAGTGCCCGGTCATTACAGACGTATGTGGTGCAACTTTCAGTCTCGATGCAGCGATAATGACCAGTCGTTCTATTCGGGCGAAGACCGTAGATTTGAAAACACACTAGGTAGTTCTCGGAGGCGTAATTGTGAAGGCAAGGAACATCAGAGCACATGCCTGAGTGCCTCGCTTGGCTCCGTTTCTTATGCTCCTTCCTTTTTCTGGTCTGTATTTGATTTAACAGCCAGCTTGGAGTGAATAGCTCAACTTTCAACGTTGTCATCATCGGACCTCCTCCGTGCTCCGCGCACGCACACGCACGGATTTGAACCGGCGCCCTCACAGCCACAAGAGCCGGGTTTCTTAACCAACCACCAGATGCGCAACTGCAGAGAAGGTGCACAAGCATGTACAAAAAGCTTCGGGTAGCGGGAGCGTAATGAGAGCCTTCAGAGGAAAGTTCAGCGATGTATCCGGGAAGTATCAGAGATGTCTTACCGCAGGAAAGCCAGCATAATCACCAGGTTCCTTGATATGTTTGACAACACCTGCTTTACTCGCAATCCTCACCTGCATTCACACAGAGCACGCAGAGAGAACGAACGTCAATCTCTCTCTCTCTCTCTCTCTCTCTCTCTCTCTCTCTCTCTCTCTCTCTCTCTCTCTCTCTCTCCGCACTTGCCCAATACACGTGTGCGTTATCAAAGCACCACCATTTCGAAGAGCTCATTACCCCCCAGATTCAAAAGCGGGTTTCAAAGCATTACTTAATTGACTACTATAAGTAATTTCAAACTAATTTGTTAAATTTGTCTCATGTTTTCCTTACTGTTGTTCACAAGCAGAGCAAGGTTCCCTCATGGTTGTGTGGCTGATCAGGAAGTGCCGATACACATCGTCCAAAGTGTTCTCAGTTGCGTTTCTGTACAGTGACGCACATGCACCCAAACAAACACAGATGCATTCCCAAGTGGTGGTCGGCCTGCCGTGTTAACAGATAGGTACTTCAGAATTGTTCTGTTTCATTAATCAACGTCCAGCTGGATTCGAACTCAGGTCTGTATTTCAATCAACACTTCATCATTTTCATGCATGGGTGTACCAACACTTCCCTTCTTCAATAGCAACAGAGAGGTAGCATGTCAGCAACAACACTCGTTTTGAGGTTCAGGCACTTCAGGCCATATGGTAGCATCCCAGCCGAAACCGCCTACCCGACTACCGACAATTTTAAGGCTTCACTGCGCTTGCTGACCATCAGTACGGCCGACCAGTCAATTGACAGCCATCAACTGATTTTTTTTTTAAGGCTTCACTGCGCTTGCTGATTAAAGCCCAGACCCCTGAGAAATTCCTGGGGAAGGGGGAGTTATAGGGGAGGATAGGTGGGTGTTAAAGTAGGGGGGGGG